TAAAAGTGATAACGGGTTATAAAATGCTACTTAAAAAAAAAGATTAAATGTTTAAGAAAATGGAATGAAAATTAGATGAACAAAACTAATCTAATAATGTTTAGATAAATAAAGGAAACTACAAAAACAAATTGGCTGTTGGTCTCAATTTATAGTCACTGAGGGTTTCAGCGTTTTCATTGTTGGGTTATTTGCTCCTTAAAATATAATTGAATTGTGTTATATTTGGATTATATAATCTCAACCCCCATCGCTATACAGGGAACCGAAACATCTCACCTGGTCAGCCAGGCCAACAATGACCCTAATGACTCCCTTTTAAGAGGCATGGGCCAGTTTTAGGTATTGCAGGCAACCTCAATAAGTCCCCATTACTAAGGGGTGGTCCTGATCTTTGGTTTAATCTGCGTGTTTTTTAAACCAAAATGAGGCTTTTTGGGCTAGTCTATAAAGCTTGGACCTCAATGCTAATCCAGACATTTTGAATTGAAAAAGCTTCCTGGATGGGAAGCGAAACGTCTTCAAACTTGTTTAGGGGTTTGTTTGTTTTTTAACATTTTTGGAATGACTATGACCTGGATGCCTGAGATTCTTCTCCAGCAAATTTGGATTATATGTGTGTTTATTTGTACACTCAGTAAAATACTATCTGTGATTCTGTATAGCAAGTCTGAGCTCTGCTAGGTGCCTCAACCTCTGAAAAAAATAATATTGAACGTGTTTATGGAAAAAGAACTCACCTTGTAATACGACATAACTAAAACAAAAGAATACACTGCTTTGGACACATTAGTGGGATTGCTTTGAAAGGAATGTTTTTGTTGTTTTCTCTAGTTTTGGAGCTTTTCTAATCTCCTTACATATGCAAAAGATCAGTCCATTCACTGTTACTCGTTTCCTTCCATTAGTATGGAGAATGCATGAGTTTGTTACATTGTGCAAGATGGAAATAAAACCTGAGCTGATATTAACCAGTATGAGGGGATGTTTGCACATCCTGCTTTTACGTACACAGCTTTCACGCATGCTTTACCTTAAATCTCTTATCTTGTAGGACCTTCTTTATCGCCACCAATTCCCCAGAGTCGCAGAGTTTTGCTTGATAGACAACACCGAAGGAGCCGTTGCCGATAACCTTGGTGTCCGTGTAGCTGACCTCCTGTGGCCTGTCTGGGCCTTGGCCTGGAGTGGCCACAACTGTTGTTACCTTGCTGCCATCTTTGTCTCCTACAGGGGAACACAGAGAGAAAGGCGGGCATTCATGATAAAGTGCTAAACATTTTATAGAATCCTTAATAAACCTCCATGAGTTTTGTTAGTTACAAAATATCAAAGACTTGTCTAACTTCCAAATTACCCGAGAGATCTAGGAATTAATCTGCTCTTTGATGTTTGTTTTTCTCGGCTAAAATTATGAGAAAAATAAAGGTGTTGAAGCCCCTTAGAAAAAGCATGATGTTTAACTCTCTTAAAAATGTTTAACTCTCTGGCCATTTAACTTTCCAATCTGAAATAATGAGTCAGGATATTGATGGAAGGATGTAAGAGGATTAGTGGCCGTTCATACCAGCAGATAGAGGCAGGCCAGACTGATCCTGGCGTTGACTGAAGTGTCCGCTAAAGAAATCAAAGAGGAACATATACTTAATGATGACAGTCCCTAAATAGATGTGCACACAACAAAGATTTTGGGTCATACCTGAAAAGCCTTGTTGCACTTCTACTGTTTACAGTCATTTATCTACAGTTAAAGAGTTTGTGAAACTAACAAGTTTCACAGTTTCTGTGTATCTGCATGTGGCCATGGCGTTAGTTTCAGAGGTTTTCTCTTAGTGAAAGGAACAAAGCTGGTTTCTATGTTTGAGGCCTAGTCTCACCCACACCAGCAGCATATAGAAGACTGGCATAAAAAAGGTTATATTATATCTAAAAAAAAAACTCCATTCACTATAATACCATGCTCCAACTAGCTTTCTCTTTGAATATTGCACTGAAACATATCTGCCGACAATCATTACATATCAGTCCTTTGTAATAATGGTTTCCAAAGAAACATTAGAAGGATCCTATATTTGGGATAGATTGTACTGCCCTATTTTGGTCGCTAATATCCTGTTTTCCACCTCTATTTTGGCAAAACTGGTCTCTAGCTTCTGACAAAAGCTTTTCTTTCCTCTGCCAAATCAAGAGATAATAATAGATTTTATTTTCCAGTGGTTATCTCTGTGAAAACAAAGCTAGAGCTAAGCAAACACTAGAGAGCTGCAACCTACCATTATTATTGCTAAATGATTAATCTGCTAACTACTTAAATTTAGACATTAATAATCTAATAGCAAAAGGTGCTTAACAAGTGACTCTCTGCAAAATTAGAAACCAGGTGCAGCATAATCTTGCAACTTAAGGCTTTTCATCTTAAATCCTCTCCTTCCTGCTTTTTCATTGTAAAGTTTTATTTTAATTACTGCCATTTTTACAGTCTCTTTAATACAGATAATGATTATTTGATTGCGAAATGTGTTTTCAATTTTTTTTCAATAATCCCTAAAACAATAGCACCAGTTTAGCACTGGAATGAGGTCTGATTTTTAACCAAATAAAGACAGAAGAGACAACAGATTTGCATTAAGTTAACTATAAAAATGAAGTAATCCCTTTACATTTTAAATTCCTCATCCACCTGGGCCTTATATCTTAGTAGTATGTCTCACGCTGATATTATAAGGTAGTCTTTAAAGGATAGGTCAGAGGGTTCTCTATCTGGTTTCCACAGCCTTTCTCTGCACTTTTCCCTCTTAGCAGCAGAAGGGAGGGCTAAAGTCCACATTAGCTGGCGTTTAAAAGCACATTCATCCACAAGTGTGTTCCAGTACGTGCTGCCTAACACAAGCAGACTCTGGACTCTGAAGTTTAACCCCAAAATCCCCATGACAAATTTGACCACCCTGACTATCAAAAAACTCAGCTTAAATCAGGAACATCTTTCACACACAGATTCAGTTTACTGTAGATGATGGAAAACCTCAGGCTGTTTATTCCTGATAGTTCTAATAAATCAATATGTTGATCGGCTTTGCCAAAACCCTTTTAGGAATTTGCTCAACCTTCAGGCATGAAAACAGGTCAGTGGCAAAAAAAAAAAAAAAAAGGTAGGAAGGGTTAAACCCCTTGTTCTTCCCC